GAACTCACAGAGATCTGCCTGGCTCTGCCTCCCGAGTGCTGGGATTAAAGGCGTGCGCCACCACCACCCGGCGACAATTTTTATACTCTCTCAGTTTCCCTCATTTTCCTTTGAAATCAGTGTCCTCTGTAGTTGACATAAGGCTTTGCCCAGTGAAGAGTTTATGGCTTCATTAACAATAGGGAATGCAGCATGTTCTATGGCTCTAACGTGCTTGGTGAATGGTGATAGACAGCCTGCAGCACAGTATTCTCTTTGCCTGGAAACATCCCAATTATACAGACTGTAAAGAAAGTACAGATGGCAACAGAGGAATCATTGGTAAAGAGGGAGATTACCCAAACCAAGTGCTCCATTACATCTGCTATGCTGCTAGAATTGTTCATAGAATTTTATAGGAAGCAAAAGAGAATGATCAGACACATGACATCCCACCCAGGCTCATGATGCTCATGATGCTGGTGGCTCCCATTCATGTGACCTTCTCTGCTTTCTTTAGGTTTATCTGTTCATTCAAGAAACAAAACTTTATCCAATACTTTCTTTATGCCAATCACACAGCATTAGCAAATATTCATGTAAAGTGTTTTCCCTCTTTGAACTTGCATTCTACTTTTCCTGCTTTCTTTCCTTCCTACCTTTTCTTCCGTGTGTGTGTGTGTGTGTGTGTGTGTGTGCGCGCGCGTGTGTGAGTGTGTGTGTGTAATGTACATGTTTTTGTGTGAGCAAGAGTGCATGTACACTTATGTGCATGTGTGTAGAGGCCAGAGGTTAATGTCAATGTGTTCAGTTGTTCTCCACTTTACTTTTTGAGTTAGGGTCTCTAACTGAATTTGGAAATTATCCACTCAGCTAGGATGGCTGGTCAATGAGTTCCAAGGATCTGCCTATCGCTACTTTGCAGACTCAGGATTACAGATGCATGCTGCTTCATCCAACTTTTACATGGGTTTCTGGGAATCTTAATTCAGGACCTCAAATATTTCAGCAACCATTGACTGAGTTATCTCCCCAGACTCCTAAACTTACCTGCTAATAGGGTGTCAATAAACAAATAGGCAGGAATGCATGTGTATAGAGTATAATGTGAAATAATATAATGTCACTGATATTATAATGAGGCATTGTGGAATGATAAATGTATTTTGTTGCTGCATACATTGTGAAGACTTAATGTTTGAAGTTGTTACTCATGTCTTATCTGTATTTTCTACTTCTTTTTCTGTGTATTCTCCCCACGGTCTGGAAGCTCTTTCAAGGCAGAAACCATACCTGTTTCTATATCTGGCTTTTCCAAAGAACTGTGCACACAGGAACTTTCTAAGTATGTGTATATTTGCTGAGATGACTCCTAAATCTCACTGCTTTAAACTGCACATTAGCATATCATTGTGAGTTTCTTTGACCACGTGGTTTATATAGGATGATGTATATAAGTGGGTATGCTCATTTTATGTGTTATAAACACAGCATTCCCATAGACATCTTTCTGTAATCTTGTATATTCCTCTACTTTATATCTAATCTTGCCACTTAATAGTTCTGTGAATTGGGAAAAGCCACATTATCTTTTGTTTTTTGTTTTTTTTTGTAAACAGGACAATAGTAATTATATTCCATCAACTATCTCAAGTAACATATTAAATGGATAAGGTTGTAATACATTTCTGTTGTTACTATAATGGGAAATAAAAATATTCAGAGACAGAATTTGTTATTGGGAAGTATGTGGGCTATATATGGCTTCTAGAACCATTTCCTTTCAAAATTATACTCCTTCCATGTGACTACTTTTAGATGGGCATGTGTACCCCATTTTCCTACTGTTTAAGGTACCCCTGCATCTCATCCTCAGCCCTAGTTCACCCATGAAGTGAGTTGTCTAACTTGCATAAAATATTTTAATTTCTAGCTTTAAACACATGAGGTTATTATTTAAAGCTTCCTGGTCCATGTGCTGGCAGGTGTCACCCCACTACCAACTTGAGCCTCTGTGACGAGGTTTCAACCATTGGGACTGTTGAGATGAGACCTCAGACAAATGAGATTCTTGGGCCACTTAATTTCTTCCATAGTGGCAAGACCTGAAACGTGGGGATGAATGGATAGATAGATGGATAAATGAATGAATGAATGAATGAAAAAAACACGAAGGACCACAATTGGATAACCCAGACACAAATATTCCAAAAGTGGTAAGATCTGCTCCAGATTGGCCTATAATATAGATTTAACACTGTTTGTTGATAGTCTTTAAAAAAGGAAAAAAGAACAAAAGAAACATGGTTAGGTTTGCTGTTTGTCACCCAGACTCAAGAACCTGCCATTCACAAACGTCATCTAATATTTCTGAAGAAGAATTGACATTTCCCGCTCTTTGTGGTCACCCTTGTAGTCTGTGTCTCATCATTCCAATAATTTTCTTAGGAAAAAATAATGGTATAGACTGAGTTCAAATGAGTCAAGTTAAAATGCTATGTTCACTAAAGCATTTTTATAAACTTGAACTCCCAAAGAGTTAGGAAGTTAGGTAGCACTTACTGAGACAAAGACTTTGTTCACTTTTTTTTTAAATTAAAAAAAAAAAAACTGGCAAGGATCCCTGGCAAAACAGATCTGACTCATCCTTGTTATCCATTTGTTCTGTGCTATTGTGTATGTGTGATTCATCTTTAGGCACAAAATGTGCTCGAGAGCTTACTAGAGTGATGGTTAAAATTTGTGTGATTTCACTTGCAATCTCCTTGCCATGTGTAAATTGGAAAGAGCCGTGACTTAAGAACTGGGACCAAAAGTGTCTCTGATGTGTATGTCCCCCCAAAGACCAACCTCAAGTAACTGGAGTCCCTACTTCCATAAAGGAAGAAGATTTTGGGGAAAGGTCTTGATAAGTTCAGGGATATTTGAAGAGTTGATGAACTCTTCAAAAGATACATGTATAAAATCCATCATGAGGAATCCCCAAAGTCCAGATACTCTGTCCTTTGTTCTGTGACCCCAAAAGAAGATGTCAGAAAGAAGACAGGTGTGACGATCAGTTTTGAGATGTTTGGAGCTAAGAGAATTATCACTCTTCTGCATTCCTAGAGCCTCCCACATACTGTCATTCATATCTCCATTTGTCCTCTAGGGATGCTGAGTAACAGTGAGCATGTTCTGATGTAACAGTGAAAATGTTCTGATCTAATAGTGAGCGCGTTCTGATGTAACAGTGAGCATGTTCTGATGTAACAGTGAGCATGTTCTGATGTAACAGTGAGCATGTTCTGATGTAACAGTGAGCTTGTTCCGATCTAACAGTGAGCTTGTTCCGATGTAACAGTGAGCATGTTCCGATGTAACAGTGAGCATGTTC